CCTTCTTCTCTTGTGGCAAGGTGGTTGCGATTAGGTAACTTCCAGAGAGTGTGCCTCACTGAATTCAACGGAAATTGTTCAAGGAATGGAATTGCGGTATTTATAATGTGGCTTCCGAAAATTGAGGATTGCATGCCAGTTTTCTATCCAAGGATGCTTTCTTTTAAATGCTTTCTTTCTTTCAGCTTCTGAAGTGAGATAGACTTCACCTTTGTTTTAGCACCCTTTAGCTTTTTAAAAAAAAAAAAAAAAAATACTACATTCAACAGAAGTCTTGATACCTGGGCTGCTCATTCTTCAATGCCGATCGCCCAATTTTCCAATCTAAAGGCCAGTGGAGGCCACCAGAAATCTTAGAATAGTTTTTGTTTTAATGGATGCATTTCCAGTATCTTGGTATTTGAAAGAAATCATTGCAGATTTGTCCTCAGAATGATGGGTTATAACAGAGCAAGAGAGTTGCTGTAGGAGATTTACAGAGTAGAATCACAAGAAATGCAGCAATTGACATTTAATTATAATTTTAATCCTAACCTTTCTTAGGTATTACGTAGCAGTTACTACACCCACTTTATTTATTTCATGGAAATTAGTAACATTTGGCCAGGAAGCATGTCCTATACAGAGTAAAAATTACTGGATGACTGAATTCATTTTCGTTTATTGGATTTTTACTGATTTTACAAAATCCTAATCACTTACTATAGTATTTATTGAGATTGGATTATAATGTGGCATTTGAATAACATTCTTTTAGAATTTTAGTAGCTCAGACGTCTTATTGTTTAGCACTGAAATAAATTTATTTTTTGTAATAATCATTATTCATATTACTGTTCTAGTTCTTTTCTTTTTTTTTAGTCATGTTTGTATTCCTATACGTTTTAGCTTACTTATTTGCACTTATTTAATCTGCTGCTTTTTAATGGGAAGTATGGTCTTTTTCTCTTATCATCAGTTAATGTGTTCTCCTCTGGGAATTCTTGAGTTTAATCAAGGAAAGTGTAGATGAATTTCTGTCTTTCAAAGATTTTGAAGTGTAGTGCAAAGCTCTTAAATTAAAGTCGGCTTCATAAGGAATCTCCCTCTGGTCCAAAATTGCTGTAAATCACTTCTAATATAATCTCTGATTTTATGTTTATAACTGATTCCATTTTTAACACTGGTTTTATTGGGTTTTTTAAACACACGTTGCCAATAGCCTTCAATTAGCCTAGCACGTTTGATAAATCTATTTCTCCAATATCTTTTTTCCTTGTACTCCATGGATATTTTAATATCCCCAAGTGCTGAAGACCGTCACTATAATTGGGTTCAGCGCATGAAGATAGGATGGGGGTCGCTTGTTAGGTAGACTTTGCTTGTTAGCTAACCCCACCATTTCTTCTGGAACACTAAAATGGTAGCTAGATTAGTGTAGCTGGGGTTCCTTGGATCACTCCAATGGATGAGAAAAGTTGGTTGCTTCTCTAGAACTGAATTGCAGAAAAGTATCATCCTTGTGAACACTTTCCTGGTTTTCTTCCTCTATTCCAGCCTTCCATCTCTTACCATGGGCATGTGGGACTGCTGCAGCTGCTGCGGGAACGGCCATAGGGGTAGATCATCCACCATTGTGTTATGCATGCCCTCCGGGGGCTGTCAGTCATGCTACCCAGGTTGCATGCCGTCCTTCGGCTGTGCGCCTATGTGTTGCATGCCCATTTACTGCACGACCGGACGTAGAAACTCATGTTGTGGCTGTCACTGTGGCTGTGGCTGTTGAAAAATCAGCATTCCCCACTCAACTCTATGGCTGCAATGAAATCAACACAACAACACCGGCACCCATTTGAAGTTTCGTTGGTCGACCTTTTCTTTTCCTGTCTGCTGAGAGACAAGATGAAGCTTTGCAACTCTTCTTCTAAAACTCTTCAATTTCTTCTTTTTCATTTTTTTGGGGGAAAGAAGCTCTATTCATCAAGAGTGGATGACCCTATTGCGTAGAATAGAGAAGTGCATAATTTTCATTCTCTTCTCCTTAAGCTAGAACCTTTTTTCCCTTCTGTTCTTTTGCAAATAAAGTGCGTATTATTGCAATATCTATTTGTGTAATGCTGATTTCTTGAAAACTAAAAGCTGTACCAAAAAAGGGTTCAAGATGATCCTTAACTAGCTTGAGGTAATTTTCTCACTTGTCCTCTTGTTGACATTTTCATTTCACTGAAGAGATCCGTGTTAATTTTTCAAGGGAGATGCCAACTCTTTATTGTTCCACAGAGTAGTTAACCTTTGATCTCCCCTTCATATATCTAATAATCCTGCTACCACATATAAACCAGGATATATGGAAACATAATTCAAAATGAAAACTCCAGTTGGGGGAAACAACCTTAAACTCACATTAAACCAGTGGTGGGATTCAAATTTTTTTACTACCGGTTCTGTGGGTGTGGCTTGGTGGGCATGGGGAGGGGAAAGATTTACCGGTTCTCTGAACTATTCAAACTTTCCACTACCGGTTCTCCAGAACTGGTCAGAACCTGCTGAATACCACCTCTGCATTAAACCAAAACTTTGAACTGATTCTGGAACCAACGTAATTTTAGTTGTAGTGTAGTACATGCTATTTTAACCATAGATATATAGGTCAAACCTCATCTCCATTCTCATGAGATATTCTTGATATGGCATTCATTCATCCAATGAAACATAAAGATGATCTCAGGTCAAGTTTGAGCCTTGGTGATTGCTTTCATGCAAATTTTCCCAGCAATGTTACAGAAGAAGCTTGCCTTATCCTCAGATGCTTCTTCTTCATCAACCAACTGCCCTGGGGTTTCCAGGCAGATCCCATCCTAAGTATTAACCCTTCCGATTCTGCTTAGCTTCCGAGATCAAATCAATTGCAAAAACATGCATTGCAACGACAACCAGATTGGTCACAGCCAAACTGTAGACTGCTGAGCCATGGTGGCACAGTGGTTAAAATGCAGTATTGCAGGCTAACTCACTTCTCACTGCCAGGAATTTGATCTTGACCAGCTCAAGGTTGACTCAGCCTTCCATCTTTCTGAGGTCAGTAAAATGAGGACCCAGATTGTTGGGGGCAATAGGCTGACTCTGTAAACTGCTTAGAGAGGAGCTGTAAAGCACCGTGAAGCAGGATATAAATCCAAGTGCTATTGCTAAGTTCTACTGCAGGGGGGGAGCATTTTTGTGATGGTGAACAAAGATGAATCTGCAAGAAAATCATGAGATTTCTCTCTGGCCCACATTCAAAATATTCTACATTTGGAATACATTTGGTTTGAGAAGCTACGTTACAGCCTCACCAATGCCCATCTAGCATTGTCTTTGCAGTCTTGGAGATATGCTTGAAATGGCCCACTAGGCATGGTAGGATTTATTTTTGAGTAAGCCCACATCCTGCCTTGACAAGTATCTGTGGAGTATATTAAATTTGTGAATGAGGCCCTCTTGAAATGGGTAGGGCTTATATATCACTTCATAACCCTTTCTTTAGGAAATGAGGCATTATCGTGGTTCGGCAAAGTATTCACTAACTCTCAGTGCAGTATCTGACAATGGCGTTTACCTCCTGCTCCTATCCCTGGACTTAAACCATCTCTAATTTTTAAAAAGTATCTCAGATAATTAAAAGTATCTCAGATACATGAAACGGTGAGGTTGTCATTGAACAATCAACATTCATGATCATCCACAACATCACCTCTTGGCTCATGAGTTTGGTTTCAACTGGATCTGCTTTTAAAAAGTCTCCCCGTTCTAGAAGATTAAAAGGCACACCGAAATTATCCCGCAGTAATTCAATCAGGCTGAACCAGAAGGCATGCGAAAGATTACAGTTTGAAACTCATATGAAGTCATAATTTGGGCAAAGCATTTACAACGTGTTTGCAAATCCATCATTTAGGACTCCCTCCTTTGTTAATTAAAATTTAAGGGCTATCTGAAGATAACACATATTTATGATTGATTGGTGCACCCAGCCTTTAGGCTAGCAAAAGATGCCCGATACAAAACCCCTGCTGATCCCAGATTGCATCATTGAAATTTGACCGTCCAAATACAAGCCCATGGCAGTGCTATTTTTCAGCTTTGTTTCGTGCAAATAACTAAATGTCTCTGTTGTGAGTCTAAAAAAGCTATTTCATGTTAAAACTCTGCAATACTAGATTTTTTTTAAAAAAAAATGGCTCCCACCGAGAAAATTGTAATATGTGCAAAAGGGAAGCTGTGCCCCATGTACTGTATGTATCTCCAGCCCAGAAATAAGATGCTTTAGATAGCAAAAAAAAAAACCCTCCAAAGCAAAATTTCAAAATTTCAAAATTTCTTACTACTGGTTCTGTGGGTGTGGCTTGGTGGGCGTGGCATGGCTTGGTGGGCATGGCAGGGGAAGGATACTGTAAAATCTACCACTCCACTTCCCAATCCCACTTCCCACTCCAATGGAAGGTTACGGCAAAATCCTCATTTCCTCCCAATCAGCTGGGACTTGGGAGGCAGAGAATAGAGGGGGGCGGGGCCAGACAGAATTTTTACTACCGGTTCTCCGAACTACTCAAAATTTCCACTACCGGTTCTCCAGAACTGGTCAGAACCTGCTGAAACCCACCTCTGCTCCAAAGCTGTTTGGGTACTAATTATTATTATTATATTTATTAGCCATGAGGCTAATGGGTCACTTTGATGAGCAAGCATGCTCATTGCCTGGAAAACTCTTTTAAGTTATATTTTAAAATAAATCTTCAGTACAGCACACTAGATCTGAACCTTACCCTGCCGCAATACCATTCTTGTATTTAATCATAGCCTTTATCAGATATTTGCCACAAGGGATGAATGTGTAAATCAAAAGATATCTGAGAGGACCAGGGGGCATTTCTTAAGTGGTGAGAATTAATTGACATTCTTCAGTGCTGACTCACCTTCTAGGGAACCAATGCAAGAAGCTCTATTTTTTTAAAAAAAGATCAGAATTAGGCTGCTGTTCATTCATCTGGGTCTATTGCCAGCGCTGGTCGTTTCACTCCCGTTTAAGAAGGTAAGGAGAATTCCCTGAATTTTCCTGGGTTAATTCGGAGCATGTTAATTCTCCTTCCAATTGTATTGCATAGATGATGGGGAAAAACCCATCCCCGTCAGAGCTCTAGAGATAAGCTAACAATTTTAAACATAGAGGGCTTGTAGTACAATCAGGGTGACAACTTAGAAATCAGGACCGGTTTGACTTCGAAAACAAAAAGAGAGAAGAGAGAAGTAGGAAAAGGGAAAGATAAAAACAAGTGGTGAACAGAAGCTATGGAAACCTGAATGCAATTAAAACTACGGTGTATTTTCTTTTCTTATTCGACTTTCTTTGCGTGCTGTTTTTTCTTTCAGAAGCTGAGCTTGGGAACGGAAGCTAGTTACCTCCTTTTATGAGTTATTTTAAGGAACTTTGTCCTTTTTTTTCTTTCTGTTTTCTTTCAGTTTTCTCTAACATTAAGTGAGTTAAGCATGTTGTGGAAGTAGAATAATCTCCAAGTTAGAAAGAACCACCAGAAGTTTCTCCTCGCCTTCAAAACCTCTTTCTCTTTCAGTTTCTTCCTTCTCCTCACAAGGATGGATGGTGGTGATTACTGTGGTCCTTCATCTGTTGGATCAACTGTGCTTTGCCACCCTTCCGGTGATTGCCAGACCTGTTGTGCCCCTTGCTGCTGCCAGTCTAAATGCTCTACCAAGTCTTGCTGTATCCCCTGATGTGTGCCAAGACCAAATGTTGCTGAAGAAAACTAGAAGATCATGTTGATCTACAAAGCAGAGGGTCAGCTCCCTCACTTCCTCCAACTTCATGGTTGCTTCCTTTATTTGATTTACAACTTGGAACCAATACGATATAGTTGTATTCCTAATGAGTCCATCTAGGTGATAAGTCTTATCTTCTATCTTCTAAAAACCTGGTCAACATTGTTGCCATTCTGCTCTGCCTCATCTCTGCTTCGCGATGCCAGACTATCATAAGCCCGCAGGGGGAAGGGAGGGCGAGCTAACACAGAGAGGGAGAAAAGCCAGAAATCAAAACTACACCGAATGCCTGGCAGAGACATCAGCCGGCTGACCCCAAGGCCACAAGCATGGGAATGGAGTGTGGAGCTTCATCGACCCCGACAAGAAACAGGACTGTTACCAAAACAATTTGTTTGAATCCCATTGGACACTAAACAGATAATGAGGGGAGGGGATCTGAAAAGGGAAAAGTAAATGGGCAGATTTTGCACGGATCTGGCTACACCTGGCTTGTCTTTAGTAAAGGTGTTCCTTTCATTAATAATGCAGTTGGAGGCTCTTCTCTTCTAAATGAGCAAGTTGGGACAGGCCCGACAGGGTGCGATAGATGATGTTTCCATGTTAATTCAAGGTTTGAGATTTTCCCAGATGTTCTATCCATCCAATAAAACTCTGGAGCCATGAAAGGCAATATTCAGTTGAGTGTCTGTGTTTCTTTTCCCCTCCGTGGCAATAAGTTTCAGTCAGTGGTGGGATTCAACACATTTTACTACCGGTTCTGTGGGCGTGGCTTGGTGGGTGTAGCAGGGTAAGGATACTGTAAAATCTTCATTCCCACCCCACTCCAGGGGAAGGTTACTGCAAAATCCCCATTTCCTCCCAATCAGCTGGGACTCAGAAAGTAGAGAATAGAGGGAGGTGGGGCCAGTCAGAGGTGGTATTTACTGGTTCTCTGCACTACTCAAAATTTCCACTACCTGTTCTCCAGAACTGGTCAGAACCTGCTGAAACCCACCTCTGGTTTCAGTGGAAGAATTTCACATACCCACGGACCTTGAGAAATCACTAAGTTTGCCCAACGTATTAGGCTAAAAGGGTTCAGCACTTTGTGGTTGTCCAGCAGCTGTCTTAGTAGATTGTGTTAACAAAACAAACCCATGAGAGTTTCACCTAAGCTCTCTTGTCATCTAAAAAAAGCACTCAAAAGTACATATTTCCCCTGAGGTTGAATAAGAATAGCTTCTTATAATCAACATTGTCGTGACCTTTTTTTCAGCACAATGCTAAACAGTTAAGATGTCCCTGCTGTCATCTGTAAAGATGAGGACCTAGAGACTCGTGAAAATGAATATTTCTAAGCAAAATGTAGCTGTAATCGTTCAATGGTTATATATACACGAAGAGAGAGATCCAGTACGCCTACAGAAACAGGCGAGGATGGGAAACTGGCACAAATCTATAAAGTGTCCTCACTGCACCCATAAGTGGTTAGGAAGCAGCAACCTTCTAACCTGTCCTCCCGTAGGTTGGGAGGACTGTAAATAGGAGTAGCATCACCCAAACCACAATCAATTTGTGCTGAGTTATGGTGTACCAAGTTTAGATGAGGGAGCAGGATTACTGGGGCCATCTGTGTTACGCAGACGTAAGTTCCTGTGGTTATTGTCAGCCTACTTTGAGAAAATTGGAGCCCTTGTTGTGCAAACAGACTCTCTCGCTTTGATGTGGCACACAACAGGGTAGGCCAATCCTGGGTGATAATTATTTAGAAGATAGCTGAGAAATTCAAGAAGGCAAGATGAGTGGACGGGTTGTGGGGAATCTGGGGTCATGTCACACTGAATCAGGACAGCCAATCATATGTTTTTGTCCAGCAAGTCTATTATCTTAAACAACAGGATTGCAGAATTCCTTCCAGGTTAGCATTAGAATTACATTGCGGTTATTCCAAGATAGTCTTTAATTATCTACAAGACAATAACATCTTTTTCCACCGACTTTATGGTGAGTCAGCTAAAAGTGGAAGATGATGCAAAGATGACCACTTCCAGACATCTAGGTTACTTCTTAGACCATGATTCCATACAATTGATATGAGTTCCTGTTTCATAGTAATCTCTGTGGCTGCTAATATTATTACGATGAATAATAGCACAGTTTAGGTCAGAAAGAAGGCCCGGATCTCTGCCATGTCTTACACGTGTGAACTGGTTGCGTCTTTTAAGATTTAGATGGTTTCTTCTTGACTGAACCTCTGAACAGTAATGGTGAAGCCACATTCAGATAGTCCTTATTTCATGACCAAAATTGGGACCGGCAACTTGGTTGTTAAGCAAATCAGTCTCTGAATGAAATTACTCATTTATATAGGTGAGGATTGGACTGCCAACTAGACATTATTAATGTGACCTCAGTCACAAAACAAGTGCCCATGTTTAACCTATCCCGAAGCCAAATTGCTGGAATTACCACCTTGTAATCCAATAAAACTTTCCACTCCTTGGAGGGAAGGCTAAAGCGTTGACTCCTGTCCCAGCCGTAGAGTCCCCTAGGCAAATATTGTCATCAGAACACATGAAGCTGACATCTGTGTGTGTCTGTCCTGAGCCAACCTTGCTGACCTCGGCTACAAGGTTCATGTGAGGATTACATGCTAAGTCTCTGAAAAACTTCAGAGTGGACATTCCCCAGATCAAATCACCTTTCTGAATCAGATTGTCAGATGAGAACAAATCGGAATTCCTCGATATCAGTTCAAATGATTTGGAAAATCTTTTATGCACGAGCCAACCCCTTTCCTTTTTTTCCCCAGCCTGATTCAGAAAATTCTCTTAATTGAGAATATCAAGTGACACTTCAAATCGGATTGGATCCACATATTCTCATGCCCACATGATATATGGGCAAGTGCATTAAACCACTCAAAATCATTTTATAAATGCTAACCAGTGTACAGACATATTTTTGATATTGGTCTTCTTGTTTAATTGTTTGTTTGTTTATTTATTTATTTGTTTATTAGATTTGTTTGCTGTCATCTTGCCTAGAGGCAACTCTGGGTGGCTTACAAAAATTGGGCCCCAATACCATTAGCTTGCACTAAAAAAACTATTCTATTTCTATTTCTCTAAATGTTTCTGTTACTTCCCTTGTTGTATGTGTGTTTATATTGATACAATACGCCCAAGGTGGACTCAATCCTACTTTTGTTATTTCGGATAAATCCTCTAGTCGTCTCTAGAGATTGGTGCATTTAATACAAGTTGAAAGAGATTTAATGAGGACCAAGTACACAGGAAGGGATTAAAAACCCAGATGGTTTTGTAAACTCTGAAGCTGGTGATCACACAACGAAATGAATGTGCGTGAACTGTTAATCTGTGGCGAAGATTAGTAGAGCGACAGGCAGCAGGAGGAGTAAAAGATACAGGAATAGCAACAGGGAGAACATCCAGTCCTGGGAACAGCAGCAGGGATGCACCCGTATTTAGAAAAGCAGAACTTCTCACAACAAGAACAAAGAGATCACATTTGGCAACAAGCTTTGGAATCGTTCTTGCTACTGTGAGGAAAAGCAAAGCTATACACAATAGAGAGGTTATTCTGTAGTTCACACAATTCAAACACAACAGGAAGTAAAAGAACTCCTGCAGGAAGTTAGCAAGTGGCCATCTTATTTGGTGAAGGCCATTTTTTTTCTCCCACAATGGGGTGGGGGGAAGATATTCGTTTTGGGACATCCTACTTAAAAAGAATTTCTACAAGGGAACGCTTTCATATCTGTCAGATACCCACTTCTTGGAAGGAGTCCAGCTTGGAAAATACTTTAGAAAAAATAAGGAGTTTTGAGAACAAGGTTGGCATAGATACTTTGCTGCCTGAAGCAAAAACAGGAGCATCATAGAATTGGATACAATTCACAACTACATCTTCTCCCTCCAAATTTTTCATCTGAGATGACTGGCTTACTATGGTTTTGATACACCAAACCCTGCTGAGCACTTCCCCTGGGTCCTAATAATCGCATCAAGAATTTGGTTGAAAAGCCCAACAATCTCCCAAACACTTGAGCTTATTTTGGATTTGGTGTAAAGCAAATCGGGAGAATGGGAGCTTATCATTGGAAGATTTGTTTCATTTGGGGGGCAAATGAGAAATTCTGAAGATGTAGACTTTCAAAAGGATCTACATCTTTTCCATTCGTCATCAAAACACACAACTTTCCATCGTGCCTGATGCTCTCAGACTCAAACAGGAGAGCAAAAGCTACCTTCAGATCATCACAAATTTCACACCTCCTCAGATGATTAAGTATCCATTTCCGTTCAAGGATTTCATCCATGAGAAACACTAGCTAACAAGTCCTCTCAGTTGATTGCCCATCGCACCGTTGAAGGTCATCCTTTCCCCCACTTCATAGTTATAATTTGTCTTCTGTTCTCATGGACGGAGGCATACTTTTTCTTTCTTCCTAATCTGTCCTCATGACGCTCCCATCAGCTAACATGTCATAGGAACACAATTTGCGTTCTTCTGAGTCACTTAGTCCAGTGTTGCTGACTCTGACTATCAGCAGCTGCTTTCAAGGCATTTTTCCACCCTAATTGGAATACGGCCAGGCAACAAAGGCAAAACTTTTTTGCAAACAAGGTAGTTGTTCCCTCTACATCCCTGAGGCCAGTACAGAACATAATCCAGTCTATTTTTCCGTTGAGTTTCTGATTAATGTTTTCAACCTAAAATGGACCAAATATGTATTTCAAAGCGGTACTCAGCTTTTAAAGATGCTCAGCTTATTAGCTGGATAGCTGACAGCCGGGGTTCAAGACCCAAGTGCCGCACAATGGGGATGGCTCCCGTTATTTGCCTCAGTTTCTGTCCACCTAGCAGTTCGGAACCATGCAAATGCGAGTAGATAAATAGGCACCACTTTGGTGGGAAAGTAACAGCATTCTGTGTACTTGGCATATAGTCTCAGAGCCATAGAAATGTCTTTGGACAACGCTGGCTCCTTTGGCTAAGAAACAGAAATGAGCACCAGCCCTTAGAGTCGGATATGACTGGACAAGGAAACCTTTACCTTTATGTATTTCAAAAGCAGCATGGAACATGTTTTAAGCAAATTCAGAACTAGTTTAATGAGGGAAGAGAAAGGTCTAATACCGTGATGGCGAACCTATGGCAAGTGTGCCACAGGTGGAATGCGTAGCTGTATCAGTGGGCACGCCAGCTCATCTCTGGTGCGCATGCGCGCGCCGGCCAGCTGATTTTCAGGCCTTCTGGACTCACCAGAAGTAGGGAAACAGGCTGTTTTCTGCCTCTGGAGGGCCTGGGGGCATGGGGAAGGCCGGTTTTTCTTTCTCACCTGGCTCCAGATCCTCTCTATGCATTTGGTGAGGGTCTTTCCCACTCCCTTGGAGGCCTGAAATGGCCCATTTCCCAACTCTTGGTGGGACAGGAAGTGACCTTTTTTGCTGTCCCCAGCCTCCAGAGACTCCTAGAGAGGCCTACTGGGCCATTGCATGCCAGGAGTTGGGGGGGAGGGGGCTTGCGCATGCATGCGCAGGGCAGGGCGCATAGAATTATGGGCATGCACACGTGCAAATCTCCCCCGCCCCCCCCCTCGTGGCACGCAATGGCAAAAAAGTTAGCCATCACTGGTCTAATATGTCAATATTATTGCTTCTTCCAAAGCAC